GCTCAAAGGAGTAGATTTTCTCTCTTCATAAGGAGGAATTTACAAGAACCACAACTCTTTCGACAATTATTTGAAGTTAATTCTTTCCTCATTTTACCAACAGGCAGTCATCCCGATTTTATCAAGTTCGTGAGTTGCTATTTTAATCTTTCTATCGCACTGAAATGGAACGTAAAAATGGAACATTACCAAACAAAAATCTATTTCATACCAAGCAGAAGGCCAACTAACGGTACTCTTGTATTCTCCTTTGACAACTCGCTTTCTTAAAACATCTTTTAGTTTTACGTAACGCCTTCAACACTCCCCTTACAAAGATATAATAAGTTTTACTTTAAGTCTTTGTCTCTTCGACAACAGAAAAGGTACATACCTTTCCATTCTCTACTGGATTGGTAAGCATTATAATCTTATCCACGTCATACTGCCACACCATTCTCCATATGTCCGCCAGTGAGCCTTTGTTTGGTCCTAAAAATATAAATTGGACTGATAATGTTAAAGCATACGTATTATAAACATTTTCATACGTTTCTTTTTAAATCTAACTACTGAGCATTTCAATCATCTTGATCAAAAATTACAATGCTTTTAAAACCTGACCCGATAAAGAGAATGTGAAATGTAATACCTTGACTGGCAATAAACTTGTCTGCCTTTGTGTACCCCTGTAGAAAAAAAACAGACCCAGAAGTCGCTTCGAAACAGTTTTGTAAACATTTTAATGCCACTTGTGTGAGAAATACATTGAAATGATACAATATTTCAATAATAACATTTCTGGAGGCTCAATTGCCAAAATAATTGGTAAGGATATTCGGAAACATACGTCTAAAAAAAATCCAGGAAGAACATTGGAATTTTTGGTTGAAAATCTGTATCCAACAATGAACAGATGAGGCCTATTCCCAGATACGAGGAAAGAGCGGTTTAAAACTTAGTTTTTTCGAGCTTGCACGTGCACGTGAATGACAATGGCTTACACCAGAAAATAATGCAAGGTTGACAGACACTTTTTTGGCAAGAGTCTGCTTCAAATTATCACTACACTCAGGCTTTACACTGATCCGTGAATTGAGCCTTTTGTTTTACAAAGTACATTATTAACATTTTCCTCTTTTGGAAATCTCTGCGTCGGCGTTAAAATCCATTTTAATTTATGCAGTAAAGCTGTAAGAATGTCAGAAAACGTCCTCAACTTACATCCACGAAGCAAGCATTGATATAATCCGAGTGAGGGTCATTCTCCAACGGCTCCAACACTACACGTGAATGGTCATCTATGTTGCGAAAATCAGATTTTGTTTTCAAATGCTTGCTAAAAAAGCAAATATATCACACTGTAACGTGAACACATTAAGTCTCATTTTGTTAATTTACTACAAGAAAAATCTATACACTTGACAGCAAAGGGAAGACGACTGTCTTAAAGTCAGACAATTCCGAAAATATATAGATCTATCCGTATTAGAAAGTGCATGAGTGTAGACATACAGGCAAGGACGTTAGCGTAGCGATTTTTGGTCTTGTTCTCGGGTTTCTCTGCCACGGTAGCCGGATGAAGCAAACCTCTAGGCAAAGTCTACAACAAAGAAAGTCAAGCATGTAATAGTAAGTCAAGAATCAATCCACACCATAATCAGTTTTTCTAATCAAATAAATTCATGAGAATGACCACAACGGAGATACAGTACATGTAAACACGTGTTTACTACTCATGAATATTCAGCACTGCATCTATTATTGGAGAGATGCCTCATCATTGGAAAGACGTGATAGAACTGTCCTAACGCCCTGTCAATAGTTATCAAATTGTTTACAGTGATGTCTTTTTGGAGTAAGCCCATAATGCCGAGATAAATTAAGGTTTTTTTGATGTGGATGTTTTACCACCACTGCATTAGGGAAGATTTACAGCAGGCCTACTATCGTCAAAACCTCCCGGGGCACTGAATCCNTAGCTCTTATGCGCTCAACAACAAAACAATATTTAGCGAAATCAGATACAGCAATGAACACTTAAAAATGACTTCAGATACATTAATCTTGGGGCTTGCATTGCGTGCTTTTCTTACTTGGAAGTCCGTGGGGAACCCTTTCTTGCCCGCCTTGTCTTTGCTTCGGATGTACTCTGCCAGGTTCTCTTCTCGTACCGAGGGCAACTCAGCGTAGGGCAATTCTTCCTCATCTTCGTCCACTACAGGCTGCTCCAGGGTCTCTTTTGATGAGTTGGTTGAGACCTGGCGGGGTTTAAGGTCAGGCTTGGGCTTTGGAGTGGGTGGTGGCTCAGGGCATATCTCCACAAGACTGTCGTTTACACATGCTTTTGAAGTGGATTCCGGTTTTTGATCTAACAAGTAATTAAAATTGTTATGAAATAATTTCGGATCTGATAACATCACATTTTTATGAAATGCTTGGTACAAAAGATAAAATAGAATGCTGCAATATCGGACGAATGTCGGTGGCAGACTCCCCTCCGAATCTTCATCCTTAAGAAGTTATGAAACAATCTTAAATTTAACCTCAGATTCAACCATATTCTTATTGGGGTACGTTGTTCAAAAGAACAAGACATCGTTTGACGCTTTGACATACCAGGAACAAAATGTACGTCTCTTCCCTGAAGAGAAACTTCTCCATTATCCCGTGGCGGCTTCGTCTGACGAGTTCGTCTGCATTTTTCGAAAGGCAGCGACAAATGTCAGTTTGCATATTAAACTATTCCAAGACATGGATATTTGTTTAATCATTTTGGTCAGGGGTCATTATTATGACGTTATTATGACGACAATGACGTAAAATTACAATAAACCGGAACTGCAGATTTAGTTTGATTAAAAGTTCATGGTAAATCGAGCTAGAGTTTATCTTCTTAAGAACAAAATTCTTTATCTTCTGACCCACTGGACTTCTCCTGTAATGCAAGGAGATACGAAACATACCTTTTATAGACAACAATGGCGACGATTATCAACAGAATTAGGATAATTACGGCAGCTGCTATTCCTCCAGCGACAGATGATAAGTCACTCTGTTGTGCTGCGCAATAATATAAAAACAGTTACAACTTACGAATTAGTGGCAATGACTAGTCAAACCTTTCCTACTTTTGCAAGGAAATCACTAATAATAGTAATTCAGCCAATGGTTTACTATCAGACCGAAGTCTTTAAGCAATATTTTGATATCAGGAAACGTAGACAGTGATTTTTTTTTTTTGTAATTTTACAACAAGATAATACCATTAATGTCGTGAGAAATCTTGCCCTTTTTGCATGTTGAATCGTACGCTTTGATTATTGACGTAATCTTCACAGGTTGTATAATTGGTTTTCCCGTTCATTTTCAACTTTCTTGTTCACATAAAATCACATACGATGATTTTTTTTCAAATTCAAAACGTTTGAATGCATTCTTGAAAGTTTCGTCTTCGGTCTCTCGGTTGTTAACAATTTCATACATTTACAATAATTTTCGTGAAAGACGATTACATTCCGTCGCGTCCAATCGTTGCGTTCCGTCTTTTCGTTAATTTTGCCTCCGACGTATGACAGTATCTTTTGCTTATAACCTTCAGTAAATAAACATATGTTTCCTACTTCCTTGTGTGTCTTTTTAGCTTTATTTAAATCCTATGCGTAGACAAGCGGAAGAAACAAGGTTTAAATGTAGGCAAATAAAACTTTACACTTCAGGAATATGAAGGCTAAACATGTTTTCCCATCTTTCACAGTCAACCCAGGTCTTCTCGTCCAGTGGATTGGCTGTTCACCCTTCAATTTTTGTCTAGCAGTAGACAATGACTAACACAACTGTACACTAAAATAGTTAGTAGCACTTCGCACAGTATTCGATTATATTGCATATTTTATTCCATTTCCTTAATCTGCTCAATAAACGAGAATTGCATTGACTTTCAAAATCATGTGCCACGCCGCATCATATTGTGACTTCTTGAGCAGGTTTAGGCAATTATATTTCCATTAATCCTAGCCGGTGACCCTTAGCCTTGAGACCGCTTTGTAAATCTCTTGGGCGAAGACAGTAAGTTTAGGATATAACGCCACGCATTGTTAGTTCCCTGGAAACCTGTTTGAAAATTTGCAAATAAAGACGAACATCCAAGGGATTATGGAGCCTAATGATTTTGCCTTTGAGATGCACACATTTGTATCATAAACAGGGTCCCCAGGGTCATGGTTTCACCCCTCCCTGCTTTTGAAAGCTCCACGCTGACCCAATGGAAGGGCAAAAGCGAAATACGACTTTTCAGAAAATGGCTGTGGCCCTTCAACGCTTCCGTAATTTTCCTGGGTATTTTAAAAAGTGCATATTAACTGCAACCTATTCGCAGCACAAAAAAAGAAATAACACCAATACAGCTGTTTTCTTTCTCCCTCATACTGCGGCTTGTGTCTGCGTCGGACAAGCTGCCCTCCGTTACTTTAATATTTACAAATAGGTCATTTGGGAGACAATTTCCGGTAAATTTTTCAGCATTAGGGAGACATTGGGTTTTAGGGAGACATTTCAGTGTCTCCCTATTTTCAAACTACTAGAAGGAGGCCAAATTTTAGTGTCCAAATTTTGAAAGATGATAGATTAGTGTCTAAAACGAAAACATACAAAGCTTGGTTAAGATCAGACTAGGGAATATTGAATTTTGGAACAGTTGGAAAATTTTTGGGCGCGTTCTTATGGGAATGTCTCCCTAATGAGCCATTAGCGGTAATTAGATTGAGTATAAAGTCATAAGATTCAAAAGCGAATGCAGTTTTGGTCTCACTCATGATGTTGGGAAAGAAAAATAATATCAAAAATCTTACTCGAGGTCCAGACATCCTTTCTTTTGCTGGTAACATTTGATAGATATGCCGATTAATTTCTTACCTATGACGTATTCTTAATTAATTGATGCAGTAATAACGCCATTATGGATACGCCACTGTCTACCCAGCGAAAATTTGCTGAGTAGGTAATGCACTGGGTTTTCACAGCCACTCCTCTTTTACAAAGACGAGTCGCTACAAAACCATCCATGGAAAACAATATGGTGCGAAATACGGGCCCACACAAGTCAATACAAGGTGGAACCCCCGCAGTATTCACATCACTGTGTTCTGAATTTCCACAAAACGAAGAGAACCTTGTTCAGAACTAATCAAAGGTACAGAGAGTGAACGCTCATACGTCACAGAAAGACTGCCAGAAAGACAGAAAGACTGTTGTTGATCAACAATGGCTTCAGAAAACCCCATTAAATCGGTTTTCCTATTAGTTTCTTATCTAAGCGGGATTTTTAGTGCTCTGTAAAAAGAATATGCAATGGAGATTGCTGTATCTAGGACATTTGTCTTTGTGCTGTTTTATAGCAAAACGATTTAAAGAGATTTTCTGATGAAAAAAAATGAACAAAGCACGGGCAGCAACTCTTGGAATCAGAGTAGGTAATTTGTATAAAATTGACTATATACGTCAAATAAAATAAGTTGTGCTGCATTTTTACTTTAATTTGTATGTGTATGTGGCGATGAAACATTGCCAGATTTGCAACAAATAAAAAGGACTGATACTGATACGAAAGGGAATTCCTCTAGGACGTTGTACTTTGAACCCAAAGTAACAAATTATAGTTTATTTCTACAAAGCATACACAAAAATACAGATTTCTATGATTTTTTCTCAAATTAACAAATTTAGGCAGACTCTTGTTAAGGTGGTCGTTGTGCTGCTGAATTCTTCAGAGGTTCTGTGACATAATGTTAGTGATATGAAAGTCTCACGGAAAAGGAAGAAATGTTTGTACGGTAGGTACATGTAAATGTAAGTACAAATGACACCCACTAACCCTCTAAGGTTGTTTCCACCTGAGTGTACGGTCCAGCTCCTGCATTGGTATTGGCAGCAACCTGAAAACTGTATTCAGTCAGCGGCGTTAAACCTTCGATGGTCACCGATTCCTCTGATGACAT